GTAGGGCTCACTGTGTCTCCAGTCTCCTGGGCTCTCACAGCGACTGTCAGTGGTGGGACAGGTTTGTTCTTCATAAGCTGGAGTGATCCTGGTCAGGGAGGAAAAAGCCTGTCAGCAGCTTCAGCACTTGTGTCTAAACCTGCCCGCTGTGGAGAGCAAACGCAGCAGCATCACGATCGCCTTGGATCCCGAATTCACTAACCAAGAAACGAGTGTCTGCAGCCCCTTTGAGCGGGGCAGCGGGGGGAGCACAAGGTGTGTGAGACAGCAGCAAACCACGCCAGGTCCCCCAGCTCCATACCTTTCCCGGCACGGATCAGCTTCAGCTGCAGGTTCCGCCTCCGGAGCAGCGATGCTGCCGTCTCTGGGCAGGGAGCTGGACCTGCCAAGACAGCCCGTTACAGTCTGCAGGAGCGCCGCTGCGCACGGAGTTACTGTGGGATGTGGACGCAACCCCTGGTGAAACTCCTGCCTGCACGGGAACATGCCAAACACCCCAAAGAGACGTGGGAAACCCAGAGGGAGAACGTTTAACCCTCACCCTCTGAAAAAATAAGGTAGAAAGAAAAATAAAGCTCCTGATGAGCATCAGTTACCTGTCTCCTCTTCCCAAACCTGACACACGAACTCTGGTCATTCAGTTGTGACCGTTAGGGTTACCCAGTCGTTACATGTCAGGGCATGAGGCGGCCTCATTTGGGTTCCATCTCAGAAGTGGATCCACTAGATAAACCCACCGCGGAGCCACCCTGGATTTACACCAGTCTGCATTAATCCAGGGAAAAGCTGGTTCGCTTTTTCTACCCGGTTTTGTACGCTCGTGCACGCCAACCCCTCCGGGAATACCGACACCCTGTAGAAAATCTGAAACTGCCTTGTATTCCTGCTCCAAAACTGCATTTAATTCGAATCCATGACATTAATTCTCAAAATGCTTTCAAAGATCCTGAAATTTTCAGGTTGATGAAAGAGCCTGGGAGAAGGGTTGATCAGCATAGGGATGTGGGGGAAGACTCACAAGGAGTTAACTCTCATCCTACAGGAAGAGACGGAGGGTAATTATCCGATTCCTTACCTAGTCACAATGGGTTCATGTTCCATATGTTCCCTCGACCTGGGAGGCTCTGGGTGGACATCAGGAGGCTCTTGTCCCTTCTCAGTATGGCTGTTTGAGTCCAAAACCCTGAAATAAGGATCCGTGCTTAAGGCAGTAGACAAAAAACACACCACGGGGTGGGTAGTCATCCATTCCCGAGACAGGAGCCATCAGGCAGGGAGCAGGACACTGGCCACAGCTATTCCCAACTGCCCTGCTACCAGATTTGATGGGAATCATGTACAAATCCCACTCTAGCTTGCCGGATCACAGCTAAAGGCCTCTCATCCGAGATTACTGCAGAAGGAAAGCATTAGGCACAGGAGAAAGCACTTGTGTCAGAATTCCTCAGCCTGACAGATGCTTCCAACACCTCAGGACACACTCCTGCATGGCTTTGCAGCCTTTATAAATGCTTGGATAGTGCTTGCCGAGATCTCCAGGTGGCAGATGCTCCTGCCTGCCACTGCTGTACCAGGGGAGCCATGCCGATGCCGAAGGACCTATGTCACACGCTGTCAGTGCGGCAACTGCCCTTTGGACTTCACACACTGCGCGAGTCTCTCATCCAACGGGCTTTTCCCACCAGTACGGGTGGGATCGCCTGCTGGAACATGCCATTATACAGCAGAGGAGCTCTTCTCTGGCCTCAGACACATCGGGAGCAGAATAAGACATGAAGAAGATGCCGCGGGTGAGTTCTGCTGACCACTTACCCTTCCTGGATCAGCCCTGGTTTAGAGTCATCTGAGGCCCACGCGCCCTCGTGCCCCCTTCCTCTAGGGGTGTTCTCTCTGAAATCTTGGGAAGACCTGGCAAAGGACAGGAAACCCCACTCATGGCTGCCGGGCGCCTGACAGCTCAGTTCAGCGCACACTGGGAAGGAGTCAGCCACGAGGCTTTGGTGGAGGCTTTTCCCAGGGTGAAGCAGCACAACGAAGCACCGACTTCAGCGCGGCACAGAGCGCTGCGTGGAATTCAGTGCACGGGTCAAGCAGCAACATTTTCACATGCTGAAATTAGCTCTTTAAAGTACCAGCCCAGACTATGCTTTCTCTAGACAAACGTGCTGCTTCCGAGCATGAACGTAGGCCTGCGGGGCACTGGAGACTGACCACATGCCCCGCACCCTCCTCTCAGGGAGCTGTAGGGAGCGATAAGGTCTGCCCTGAGCCCCCTCTTCTCCAGGTTGAACCCTCCATCTCCCTCAGCTGCTCCTCATCAGACTTGTGCTCCAGACCCTTCTCCAGCTCCATTCCTTTCTCCAGACATGCTCCAGCCCCTCAGTGCCCTTCCTGCAGTGAGGAGGCCCAAACCAAGCACAGTGCCCCGTTTCCCACGGGGACAGCTCCGCTGTGGTCCCTGCCCCGGTCCCCCTGGCCTGACTTTGCACTGGACCCTTGGAATAACGAAGCTGCTGCCTCTCAGAGTTGGAACTCCTGGAGGAGGAGTCATTCCAGCATGCAGCACAGCCAGAGGCTGCTGGGCAGAAATTTGGAAGTGTTAAATGTATTCACTGCGTGGTCAGTCTCCAGAGAACATGGTAGGAAACTCACTACGTCAGGGGATGCTGGAGAGAGGAGCCGCTCAGAGCTGCTTGGACAAACGGCCCTTACGACGTTGCTTTTCTCGTGCTCAATAATTCCCGAGAAATGAGCATTTCCAAGGTTTTCAACAATGAGAAAAACCTTACTAGCAAACATGGGGTTAGCACCCCAGTCCTTACATTGCTTCATTCCAGTGCGGCTTGCTGTGTGCTGGGGTGGAGGGACTCGTGTATCTGCTCTCTTGGGTGCTGCTCCTCTCCTCGTAGCCCAGGACAGATCTGAAAATCAAAGAAAGGCCCGTTACAGCTTTAACTGCACACGACTCGTTGCACTAGTGAGCACTGCCTCACCAGGGAAGGCTTGTGCCAGTCTCCACATTCACTGTCCCGCACCAGGGTTTTTCTCTAGGGACCGTATCTGGCCTACAGTGACATTTCAGTGTATTTCAGCCGCCTTTCAGCTCCCTTGGTACCACTCCAGCACCTCACTGGACTATCGGTGAACGAGCAGGTAGTGCCTGAACCCCACCAAGCACACAAGCACCAAGAGGAGGGGGGGGAAAAGCTGGGGTGCTTGGCTCCTGTCAGAGATGGAGGTGGGAAGCAACACCACCTCTTGGTTTACTTTCCAAGCTGCGCTTTGAGGCTCAGCACAGTTGTCTTCATCCTCGGGGCAAAAGCTGTGAAGGCAGCCTCTTTCTGTGCCTGCCCGTTCAGATTGCCCTTAATCCTCAGCATTACTCACACACCCACTAAATTTACCCCACTCTTACCCTTTAAAGGAATATTCTGTGTCCTCTAGGTGCACAGGGGCTCGGTCAGGAGGAGAAGGGACATCAGACTGCAAATTAGTCCTGTCAAAACAAAAAAGGAAGGAATCTACACCCTGACAGCTTGCCAAAGGCCTCAAGGGGGGCTTGTATGAAATAACAACGCTGCACTGTACGTGAGACCAGAAAACAGCAATTTTCTCAGAGACCTGATCTTCCTTCAGAAAAAGCATTTTCACCACCTCTCATCAGAACAGAGGCTCTTAGTGGACCTAATGCAGTTACATGGCCTCAATTTCCACATGCCCTGGCTGCAGATACGACTTTCCGGGCCTGGCACGGGGACCAAGCACAATGTGAGTAACTCCTGAGGAGACGATCCTACATTACCAGCAGCAGCTCTAGGTCTGGGGTTTTACACCATCCTACTGGGAATCTTGTGACCCTCCTCACCTGGCTGGGAGGTCTGAAGGCACCATTTTCTCACCTCAAGTCCTTGGCTAAGTCAAAACATGGAGTGAAGTCCCAAAATAATGGGCTAAGATAAGGGAAGAAAGCAGCTTCAGGAGGTTAGTGTGTTTGGGGTCAGCAGCCTCAATTCTTTCCTGACATTGTCAGGGGAGCGAGCACGCTCTAAAAAGCGTGTGGAAGAGACACTTTTGAGATCAATGCTAAAAGAACAATAAAGCTGCTGTCTCTGCTCCCAGCTGCTCCTGTAGGAAGAAGCTGAAGTGTAACAGTGAACAGAGGGAATGCTTTTCCCACTGCTGAGCCACCTGGGATTTTCTGGCTCCCCTTGCTTCATTACCCAATTTGGATTCTGCTTCCAACCCTACTCTGGAGGAGTTATTATTCTGCCCCCCACAAGCAGCCTGTGAGCAGCACTGTGAGTGCCAGCGCTGGGCCCTGACCTTGCAGGTTCCAACTTTGCAGCATCCAGGGAGCTGGAGGTCTCGTGCTGACGGTGCAGCTGGTCGGCAGCATCCGCGGGCCTGTCCCTGCAACCAGAGTGGGACTTGGTAAGAGAGGGAGCTGGTGGGTGACAGAAGGAAGCTGAGCGAGCAGGAGAACACAGCAGGAAGCAAAACCATCAGATGTGAGATTCTCCCATCTCAAACATAACATCTTGGGGTGGGACTTTTTCCAAGGGCAGGGAGTGACAGGACAAGGGGTGACAGGTTTAAACTGAAAGAGGGAGATGGAGATGGGACATCAGGAAGGAATTCTTCCCGCAGAGGGTGGGGAGTACTGGGACAGGTTGCCCAGAGAAGCTGTGGATGCCCCATCCCTGGGAGTGTCCAAGGCCAGGCTGGATGAGGCTTGGAGCAACCTGGTCTAGTGGAAGGTGTCCCTGCCCGTGGCAGGGGGTGGGAGTGGATGGGCTGTAAGGTCCCTTCCAACCCCAACCCCTCTGTGATTCCATGATCTTTTCCTCCCTCCTGCTTAGCTCAGTAATTTCCTGCAGCAGACCTGAAGGACAGAGACCCAAACCCAACCAACACACACCAGTGCCAGGAAAGAAGCCAAAATATCTCAGTCCATTTTGAGTCCACACCCCCTTTGCACATGCCTAACACCTTGGTTAGGGCAGGCAAAGACCCCCCTCACGCTGAAATCGAGGAGAAAAAGGTTAAGTTTTACACTGTTAATAGGTTTACACTTACTTTTGTGGGTAAAATCCATTGTTGGCTTCTGTGTGTTCAGGGTAACTGAAAAGCAGAGAGACCAACTGTAGAAAGCATCTTTGGTTTGGGGAATGTTCTACAATTATTTTCTTAGCATTTAATAAAAGAGAGAGGAGGAAATCCCTGAAACTTCCCAGAGTTGCTCCTCAGTATATTTCTGCAGGTAAAATGGCAAGAAACTTGGGGGAAATTCAGTGCAAATGAAGTACAAAGGAGCATCTAGTGACTCTGAACATCATCGACATACGACAGATGCCAGGGATACGGAGTCACCTGGAAATTCAAGCCAGGACTCTTCCAAAACCAGCAGGATGTCCCTCAGCCCACAGCCACCTCCACCCGCACACACAGCAGGGAAGGAACAGCCCTGACATCCTCTGGCTTGTCTCAAGGGAGCTGACAGAACGGAAACTCCAGGTGTCCTGATCCCAAACCGCAGGGTCCTGGTTTTTTGTTTCCAGGCTGTGGGCAGCCAACAGCCCGTGAGGGAACAAGCGGAACGAAGGGCAAGCAGTGGCAGATTTGGGCATTTGCAGACAGCAACCAGCTCAGCTGCACCGTCCTGCCTGCCATTTTGGGATCTTTAACTGCTTTCCACAACACCCCAGTCAGGATGCAACTTTTCCTCGCACTGAACCTCTTGGTTTGCCAGAAGGTTTACAGGATGTGCCATTTCCTTTTGCGTTTGGGTTGGGTTTTGGGGTTTTTTTTAGGGGGTCTCTTGTGAAAGGAAATAGGTAGGTGGAGGTTGGAGGCCTAGAGAGACACTGAGCGTGAACCTCTCTGTGCTGTGAAACCAAACCAGAATCCGTTTCCACTTGGGAATAAACCTGGAAAAATGCAGAAATGACCCACAAAAGTGATTATTTCTTTGTATCATAGAAACTGAAGAAGAAAACTGGACCAAAATATCGGACAATTTTATTGAAGAGGGTGGTGTTTTCGACTCTTCTCAAACAACATCTTAGAGGAAGTGCTGCAGTCCTGCAAAGCACAGCCCGGACTGTGTTTTTCCATCAGTAAATACCTGTCCAGACTTTCCAGGCAGCTCAGGAGCTGTTTGTGATTTGCACAATGCTCAAGTCAATAAAGGAATTGCACACTGACTCTACCTTCCATTCGTGGGAACCACGGTTGCTCTGGGGGCCAGTCCATCCCACAGGAACGGCTCAGACTCTTCCTTTGGAGGTTTATCACTGGAAAAAAGGAAAATGCCAGTGAGATGTGACCCAACAGCATTTATATCGTATCATCCTAGACCAGTCTACTAACAGTTAGTTAGGGGGAGAACAAAATGGGGTGAACTCAACACATCAGGGCAGGAAGGGCCAACCTCCTGAGTACAGCGGGTCCGACAGCAGTTCAGGGGTTACTCAGAGACGTGTTGCTCCCTGCAGCAACGTCCTGCTAACCCCTTTGCTCGGGTGAGCGCATGTGCCCTACAACAGTTGTTCCCTCTCTGCTCATGGGCCAGAAACACCTTCCTACAGGTCGACCAGCTGGACCCTACACCCATCTCTCACTCCCCCAGACCTGTCAAGCTGTGCCTCCGTCTCCATCCTTCCCTGCCAGTTATTCTCTGTCCAGTTTGAGGTGGCTTAATGAGGCATCCTCTAATTTCTCTGGGAGACTGACTCACAATTAGGAGCCACTACATGCCCCAGATGACCCCGAGCACAATGAGTGCACTGTACTCAGGCTGTGCCTGCACTGACGTACAAGGATGTATTTATGGGCCTCGGCTGAATGACCAGGACAATAGTCCAGTCTCTACCTTTTCTCAAACACCCAGGACTTTGCTTCAGCCTGAGGTATCTGTTTGGGAACATTTCTAGCTTGATCTTCACTGATGGAGGTGGAGAGTGAGTTGCAGTTAACTGCTGATGCTGCAGAAACTCCAATCCGAGCTTTTGGCAGCTGATTAAGGCACAAGAGAGCAAAAGGTACAGCCACACAGGCAACTCTGCCTGACTTCAGTCCAGACACTGCCAAAAATTCAGAGGGCGAGCACTGGGAACAAAGGAGTCCAGCTAATAGGGGGTGTATTTTAAAAATCTGAAGTGCTCCTGTGTACAGGCCAGAGGATAAAGAGGACTGAGCCAACCATGCCCTGGGCTGCCAACCGTATCCTGGGCTGGAGCCAGAGCAGCGTGGCCAGGGGGGCGAGGGAAGGGATTCTGCCCCTCTGCTCCGCTCTCGGAGACCCCCCTGCAGTTCTGCTCCAGCTCTGGGCCCCAACAGCAGAAGGACACGGAGCTGTTGGAGTGAGGCCAGAGGAGGCCACGGAGCTGCTCCGAGGGCTGGAGCCCCTCTGCCATGGGGACAGGCTGGGAGAGTTGGGGGGTTCA